TGCCTTTTCATAAATAGTTTTTTCACTTTATTTAATTATTTTTTTTAATAAGTAGTTTTTTCACTTCCGGCTCATAGAAAGCCAAAGACCTCGCAAAATTTTCACATTCAATGTTTTTATTGACCTGTAATAGAAGACTTTACTTTTACAATGCTACACAAAATCTATACATGATAGTACAATGTTATGTCATGGCGGTTAAGTTTGCATAATCTGTTTTTGAAAACTTTTCAAAAACTAGTTTAGGGAAAAGAAAAAATATACAAAAAAAAAAAAACTCATAAGTTTTTTTGTGTTTATTTTTGTGAAATTAATTTGTAATATTTTTGAAAAAATTTCATAAATAGATTCTGAAAACTCAACCAAATAGGTACTCAAGACTAAAAGTCAAAATAGTGTTTGGTTGGTGCCAAATTCGAGTGAATTCTATAACAAATCCAGAATTCTTGTAACTCATCAGATCACCAAGTGAAATGCAATAATACAGCAAACATAGAAAAAAAATAAAAATCAATGAATCAAACTACATGACTTTGAGGAAGAATTCAACTTCTAGGAGGCATAATCAAGCGCTATACAAACCATCAGAAATTGAATAAAAAAAATATGACTTTGGAAATTGACTATTTTAGTTATTTTTTTGACTTTTATGAAAACATACAAAAAAGTAAAGAGAAGAGTTTTTTTTTTGGGGTGAATAAGTAAAGAGAAGAGTTGCCTTTGTGGCTTCTTGACTATTGCTTATTGCCTATTGCCAAAACAACGATAATCATACTTTCTTGAACATAACAAGTTTTAGATTGATGAAAGCAAATATTGCTTAAGAAAAGTGAAAAAAAAGTGTTCAGCCAAATGGATGTACAACAATGAAGCAAAAATCTAACTTGTAATAGGAACCAGTAATAGTATTTCAACTAGCAAAAATCTAAACAAGCCAAGAGTTCCAAAAAATGAAGAACAAAAGTAGAGTATTTCAATATTGCAAGAACATTTTAGAGGCAAACTGCGCAATTAGCACCAACTTCAATAATAAACTGCACAGTTTTAAAAGAGTGAACAAGGAAAAGCTTATGATATCTAATTCTTCTGTAATCGAAACAATTGCTGGTAGGAAACATCAAGACATAAATAGTCATGAAGAAAATCTGAATAGCAATTCGATAGAACAAGAACACAATCCACAAAGCTGCACAAATTAGAATTTACATATGTCAGTGTGCTCATTTAAAAAATAGAGTACTAGGGAAAATTTACAGTACCCTCAATGAATTTTACAAGTAAGCTTGTAATAGTGATCAGAACCACTTACAATCTTTTTTATTACTGGAAGAGGCTGCTTGCAATCAAACTATATGTCACAAAAAAGGAACTTATACTGCACCAGAACATCTTTTCTTCTACTTGCAGCAGAAATCTTCAGTTACGGCTGGCGACATATTGCATGCCAAGTTGATGCGTCCAAGAAGTTCGTGAGAACCAATGCAAGGGACAAAATTTTGTACATAGTGCCAAACACTAAGTTTTGATCAACCTGATTTTTTGCATTCCTACAAACTGTCAGATTTTCTTGTTTCCGTTTGATTTATACAGAGTTGTTTTTTGGATATTTGTTTCTGTTCTGTTTCAACACTGTCATAGAATCACAAAATACTGTGTGTGTTTTTCTTTCTAATACAGATTTTGGTTTTCAGTTTTCTGCTTCAAAGAGTTCCTGTGTTTTGGTTTCTGGTTTATACAAAACACAGTTGGATTTCTGATTTGTTTTAATTTTGTTTTAAACATTACAACAACACACAAACAGTAGTGTTTTTCTTCCAACAGCTTTATAGTTGTTGAATATCTAGAGGAGCTGTTTCCTGTTTATTTTGGGCTGCTGTGTACTGGGGGTGTTTGTTTAGTTAGTATTATCTTGGGGATTTTGTGTTTTAAAGAGGGAGTTTTAGTTGGTGTCATGCCAACTTGCTTTTGTTTGTTCTCTAGGCCTTGGTCATTGTGATTGGCAGGTGGTATGTTCCAATGATGCTAATGAGCTTAGCTTTTTATTGATATAAGTTTGTTATCTTTTGCCACATCAATAAAATTTCACCTTTTTTGATAAAAATAAAAAAATAAAAAACATAGAGGCTTCGTGGAAAAAAAAATGTTAAGATCAATGATTGTTATTATAAGAAGTTGATTTATTTTAAGTTGTGTTTGGATCAATGATTTGATGAGGAATTTGAAAAGGAAAATGAAAATGGGACAACAAAATTAGTTTCTATTTCATTTTACTTTTAGTCCTTTCTATTTCATTTCCTTTTATAAATTCCTCTCCAAATTCTTAATCCAAATATAGTCCCAGAAATCAATCAATTAAGATCTAACCTCCTACCACATGTGGATAAATTTAAGGATGATGTTTTGGGCATAAAAAAGAATTAATAAATAAATTAAGACCATATGAAATGAAAGCGGAAGCGCGTACCTGATTGAGTGAGGAGGCAGCAACCTTGTTATTGATACACAAAATATTCAAACATTTGACCTTTTTTTCTATCAAGCAAAGAGAGAGAGAAGCGGTTGAGTGAAAATTATTAATAAATAAAGGTGAATGGAATGAAAAATGATATACAACTCATTTTCTATACTCAATGATGTATAAGTCAAATAATTGACTGATAATTAAAGAAAATATGAAAAAAAGAATTGTCTTAAATATTCTAATAAATTGTCATATTATTAAATTTAAAAAATAGGTTTAATTTTGATGCCTAAATAGCATCACCCTTAATAAATAGAGGTGAATGGAATGAAAGAGATTTTCCACCAATCTAGGATATGGGAATTTTTACAACTCAGGTAATGTCACTCTATGATTGACTAAGAGATTAACCATGTATTTGAAAACTTAATTATTTTAGATAACTTGTGTACTTTTTAAAAATTAAATGTTTGTTTAAAAATATATAATATAATTTTGTCAATTTTTGAACGATCCATATATATATATTTTTTTGCATGATTAAATTGTTTCACAATTGTATTGCACAATTAGTACCAATTAAAAATTTACATATGTTTGGCAATATTGTTTGACGTAGAAATATTGGATAAATTCCCTAAAGATATATATATAATAAAAAAATCATTTTTTTGTTTTATTTTTTTATTTGTTTTTAGTAAAAAAAATTATTTTTTATTTGTAGATTTTTTCACAAATATTTTAATTTTTAGGTGCATCTAAATTTTTTTTTTTTTTTTAAATTTGACTAAAATATCAAAAAGTTTCTAAAGACAAAAAATAATAATAATAATGAGATAAAAAAAACTCAAAACATATTTTATAAAAATTAAACCAAATAAACTAATTTTTTTAACAAAATTCTACGGCACACAATGTTGTTTAATGTATGTAAATTTTAAGCTGGTACTAATGGTACAATACTATTGTGAACAATTTGAAAGTTAAAAAAAAAAAAAAAAAACAATTACAAAAAAAGATAAACAAGTCATCTAAAATAATTAGGATTCCAATGCTAGGTATTATAAAAAAATATCATGAAAATAATCATGAAAGATTTTCCATCATTAGATTATACATATAAGAAAGGAAAATGTTTCGTAACTCGAAATTCATTTGCCCCGAATGGCTCGATTTCAGAAACGACGTCGTTTGACTTTTTCTTTTCTTTTCTTTCTTGCTTTCTTTCTTTCCCTTCCACTCCAAACCCAAACAAACAGAGAGAAAGAGAGAAATGGCGGATCAAGCTTCGTCCTCTCCGTCCATGGCGGATCAAGCTTCCCTCTCCGTCCATGGCGGATCGAGCTTCACCGATCTGGAGTTTCGGATTTTAGAAATCAGAATGATTGGAGTTGGAATTGTTTGGAGAGAGAAAGGAGTTTTGAGGGTGATGAATTGCAGATTTGAGAAAGAAGAAAGGAAGGCACATCGAAGATGGAGTGAGACACTTCGGCCCCGTCTCCGCCTCCTCCTTCCCCTGTGATTATGCCCCCTCCAGTCCTCCTCCTTCCTTCTCTTCTCCTTCTCTTCTTCTCCACCCTTCTTCTTCTTCTTTCTTTTGCAACAAAAAACACAGGAAAAAAAAAGAAAAAAAAAAAACAAAGACACCAAAACGACTGTCGATGGAGTGAGACACTTCGGCCCCGTCTCCGCCTCCTCCTTCCCCTGTGATTATGCCCCCTCCAGTCCTCCTCCTTCCTTCTCTTCTCCTTCTCTTCTTCTCCACCCTTCTTCTTCTTCTTTCTTTTGCAACAAAAAACACAGGAAAAAAAAAGAAAAAAAAAGAAAAAAAAAAACAAAAACACCAAAACGACTGTCGAGCCAAATTCGGGCCACCAAATTTCGAGCTACGTAGCGGGGTCGTACAAGAAAACACTACACATTAGTCAAGGGATGAAAAATTTTCATGATATTTTTTTCATGATCCCTAATATTATTCTACTTGGATTTAGAGGTGGCAAATGAACAGATTTAAATGAGTTAGAGGAGAACCTTTTTCCAAATGGAAGGAATTAAGGCCTCATTTAGGAATAGGTTTTTTTAGTAATTTTTTTGACTTTTTAATTAAAATATGATGTAAAAAAAAACTAGTATATTTAGAATGACTTTTTAGTTTTTTATGAAAAGATGTGCAAAAAGTAGAAAGAAAATAAAATCTTTAACTTTTTAGTATAAATTGTTGACTTTTAATTTTTTTTAGTGAGTTTTTGATTTTTTAGTTAAAATTACCACTAACCAAACAAGGCCTAAATGAATTATTGGCAGATTAATTATTTACCAGCAATGCTACAAATAATCTCATTTCCTACGTCATTTTCTTTTCATTCTAAAACATAAAAATAATCGGGGCTCACATCAATAACTGCACGTGAGAATCATTAAGTTGGATCTAGAAGTGAAGGGAAAAAAAGAAAAAAAAGAAAAGATGACAAATAAAATTATATATAACATTTTCTATTATTTAATTGTTGAAAATATTTTATAGCATGTTAGCAAATACCTGACTAGAACGTTGAGAAGATTTCTGACTACCAACTGCTTTCGGAATACAGAGAGTAATGTTGTGTTGGAGCGAGAGTGCGTTGATCAAAGCTGAGTTCAGAATCCGTATGTAGTAAGGGGATGCGAGCAATCTTATGCCAGTCTTGTCCTTCCTCCCTTAGGCAACGAGGTTTCAACAATGGACACTCCAAGATTTCCAGCAGAAAGAGGGATGTTGGAAGCCCTTCTTCCGGCAAGGATTGGAGTTGAGGGCACTCCGCAATCCTCATGTATTTGAGAGAGCCAAGATGTTGAAGGCCCCTGTTGTTCAGCGATTTGAGATTTGATAAGTCGCTGATCTCGAGCCATACGAGAGTCGAGGGCAACAGACCCTCCTCCGGAAACGACTCTAGCACATCTTCTACATATTCACCTGCGATTGAAAGGCGTGTAAGAGAAGGGAGTCTTTGCAAACCCCACTCTCTCCTCCGAGCCACAAGTTTCGCACAATTCCTGATTTGAAGACTATGTAAGCTGGAGGGCAGGCTCCCTTCCGGAAATGACTCAATTCCTGGGCAGTTCCCTATCATCAATGATTGAAGAGATGTGAGGCTATGCATTCGATCGGGTAACGACTTGAGTTTCTTGCAGTTCCGGAGTTCAAACGTTTTCAGATTGGGAGCGATTACTACTTGTTGGGAAAAAGATTCCATATTAGAGCACCCATCCAAGTAAAGCAGTTCGAGTGATGCGAAATTTTGGAATCCAAGCTTGTTTAGAGTCAAAAGAGTCTCAAAATTTCCAGAGTCTTCGATTGTTAGAGATTGAAGCTTCGGAAACAATTCTAGTGGCAGGGAAGGGAGAGAATCACAGGTTAAAAAGAGCAAAGATTCCAAGGATGTGTAGCAGTTCTCCATCTCCTCAGATAGTGGGAAAACTAGTTTCGGACAGGCGTGAACATACAAACGTTTAAGGCAACTGTTGAGACACATCACTCTCTCCGGCAAACAACGTATAGCCCTACAATCACTGATTGTAAGGTCTGTAAGCATGGGCGGCAACCTTGTGTCTGGAAATAACAATAGGTCTGGACATCGCTCTATCCACAATTTCTTCAGATTTATTAAGGTATATAGTTCAGGTGTCAGTTCCTTCAAACTTGCAGATGAAATTTCCAACTTTACGAGAGAAGACAAACCTTGCCATCCCAATTTTACACTATCGCATCCCTGCAATTCTAATTGATTTGCAGCGCATGTCCTAGGAAGTGAAGCCATAAGCCCTGGGCAGTCCCTAATCTCAACTCTCACCCAAGATGGAATGTGTTTGGGTAAGCCTCCAATCAGCTTCGGACAGTTGGTTACCCGAAGCTCTTGAAGACGAGAGAACTCTCCATCATCCAATATATACCATTCCTCCCAATCCAACATTTCTGAAAAACTAAGTCTCTCAAGAGATTGAAATGGTTTGCTTAAAGAACAATCTCCGTAGAATTCAGGGCCCACCTTTGTTATGCTTGGCATCCCTGAAATGGTAAGATGTTTCAAAGAGGGCAGTTGACCAAGCGACGGCAAGAAAAAGCAATCCTCACAATTATGCAGAGATAAAGACACCATATTACAGAATGATTGATCTCCCAACCATTCCGGAAATCTTGTGCCTCGGTACCTGTTTACCTGTAGGTGTTTCAAGTTTGTATGAGGTTGTAGTTTGTCAAGTACATCTCTTTCACTTTCTGAATCACTAGGATTTCCACTATCCCAGCTCAGCACCAATGTTTCTAGGAACTTTTTCTCCTTCAGCTTTGCTTCCATTGCATCCATGCAACTCATTATATTTTGCAAACATGAAATGGAGAGGCTTCCACGAAGATGATAAAACTCCTTCAACTCATTAATACCTGACCCGCTACACTTTCCCACTACGAAGGCAGTTAATGTTTGGAGATCTTTTAATCGACTCATTTGCATTGGCATCTCCCTTAACTTACGAGTTCCACTGATATCAAGATGACGCAAGAAAATTAATTTTCCAATCTCTGTTGGCAAGGTAGTAAGATTATGGCACTCAATCAGCAGCAATGTTTGTAAATTATACAGGTCACAAACAGATTCTGGCAATTGTTGGATTTTTGTGTAAGAGAGATCCAAATAGCGTAGATGTATCAAATTGCTAATTGAATGAGGCAATTCAAAAATCCGATAATGTGACAAACACAGCACCCTTGAGCAAATTAGTCTCAACAAAATAACATCTAAAACCATTTTACTGAACCAGCTCCAACTATATTTACTTCCTAAAGGTAGGAACGTCCTTAAAAACTTAGCCTCATTGATTACCTTGAATCTTTGAAAGTCGTCAAACCTGCCTCTAGTATATGAGAAATGGCGTACTTTGTCAGCAATAATATGTGGCTTGTCATTCTCTAACCGCAAACAAAAATTTCCAGACACAGATTGAGCTAAATCATTAACAAGATCATGCATGACAAAACAAGATGCTCTAGCACTTTGCTGAAATAATGATACTGACAGCAATTCATTGAAGCATTCATAACCTACTTCTTCCATTGTTGTGTTACTTCTTGGCTTCACAAAACCTTCTGCAATCCATAATAGAACTAATTCCCTCATTTCAAATTCATAATCTTTGGGAAATATGGAACAATAAGCAAAACATCTCTTTAAATGTGCAGGGAGATAATGATAGCTCAATCTTAATGCTGGAAGAATGTTATCCTCTGGCAAATCCCATATGGCACTTTTCAATACATTATTCCAATCCTCAGCATCCCGTTTAGAGCGCAAAAGACCCGCCAATGTTTTTGCAGCTAAAGGCAAACCTTTACATTTTTTCACGATCTCTTTGCCAATATTTTCAAGGTTTGGATGTGAATTGGAATCTCCCTTCTCAAATGCATATTTGGCAAACAATTTCCAGCAATCTTCAAATGGTAATTTCTGCAAACGATGAATATGAACGGTTTTCATGACAGATGCAACTTTGTCTTTGCGTGTTGTAACAATAATCCTACTCCCATGTGCGCCATATCTAAAAGGCTGACTCAAGCTTTCCCAGTGACCATAGTTCTCATTCCAAACATCGTCCAGGACGACAAGAAATTTCTTCCCACTCAACAACTCCTTCAGCTTGACTTGAATCATATCTAGGTTCTTGGCATCACAAGCCTGTCCAGTAACTGCCTCAAGAATTGATCTGGTAACGCTTAGAACATCAAATTCTTCAGAGACACAAACCCATGCTTTCATTTTAAAGTGATCAACCACTCTATCATCATTATATAAAAGTTGAGCAAGGGTGGTCTTGCCAACCCCACCCATCCCCACTATTGCAAGCACACCTATCTCATTACTACCACTCGCATCATCATCGGAGAGCAGCACCTTCATTACATCCTCCTTGTCAAAATCCCTTCCATAAACACCAGATTCATCGACCAAAGAAGAGGTTTGGGACTTGTGAAACCAGTTATTATGTCCACGAACTTCTCTCAAACCAAGGACATCTTTCTTTTGTGCAAAATATTCCAAGTCATGAATGATCTTCTCTAACCTGGACTCTATCCCCGCATCAAATAAACTAGCAGTAGTAGAGACAGAGGATGTCAAGGTCAGAGGGATTAAACTTAGTACCTGGCTTAGGCGGCTGTGGCTGCTAGTGCTGCTGCTGCTTTGGTAGTCGGCTTCGGACTTGGAGCGCAAAGCCTCGGTAGCAATTTCATCTACTAAATCATCTGCGTGGTAGATGACATCTTTAAGCTCTTCCGCCCACTCTTTCACAGCTGGGTTAGTGATTTGCTTGTTCTCAGCATCATTCAGCACAGCACGAAGTTCCAGCAATGATAGGTTGAGCTTCTTGAGGAGTCTATCGCCATCCTTTCGGCCCCGGAAGACGTTGATGACCTCGCGAGAGGCCAACCGATCAAACAACACTTGAAGGGTAGCAGACAGAAATGCTCCCCCAACCAACGCGTCGGCCATGTTCTTTTCTTTGAAAAGTCAGTGGTGAAGAGGTTATGATCGAAGAGGAAGGAAAACAGAGGCCTCTGCAATTTAATTTCCAACCTTTCTTTCAAGACTGAGGAATGAGAGAGGAAAGTGAATTCCCATCACATAGGATGCGCAAGCACAGCTGTAAAGCTATAAATAAAAGGGAAATAATTCTTGACGTTGTTTATTTTTTGTGTACTCGTACCATTTACATTAATTTTGATCAATTTGAAGATTGTTTTAAATGTTTTAAACAAGTGTTTTTTTTAATTATTTTATGAAATATAAGTTAGGTTTGAAATAATGTGGTAGAGACGTGACGTGACTTAAATAAGATTATATGATTTAAATAGGATAATAAATTTTTAATTTTTTAATTTTTTTTAATGATGCCAAACTTTAATTTTACTAAAATAAATATTAGTATAATTATATCAAAATTATAATTTTTTTTTTTTAACTTTAGGATAGATGAGTGTAATTTATCCGTAAATTTTTATTAGCTTTTTAAGTTTTACTTTTTCTTTTTTGTTTTGTTTTGTTTTGTTTTTTTTTTTTTTTTTTTAAGAAAAAGTAAAGCTAGTTGAAAATTACAATTATTCGAACTTCAACTTCTTTAATTATATTAAAATTATAAGATTTTTATTTTTATATATAAACTTCAGAATAGATGAATGTAATTTATCTGTAAAATTTTATTAGCTTTTTAAGTTTTCTTTTTTTTTTTTGTTTTTTGTTTTTAAGAAAAAGTAAAAGCTCGTTAAAAATTACAATTATTCGAACTTTTTTCAAAAGCAACATCAACCTTTAAAGGAGGCTATTGCAGGAAATGGGTGGAGTTTTTGCTGTCAAAGTGGTGTGTTGTTAATGTTTTATTTAAATAATGTTTAAGTTAGCAATATTGAGAATCAAGTATACCTAAAGTTTTGTTATCCCAGGACACAAAAAATAAATAGATAGCATACATTTGAACAAGAGGATTCCCTTTATTATAAACACAACTTCAAAATAAGAGGAACAACAAAATGGTGTTCTCCCTTTAGAGTACCCCATGCCAATATGAAAATGGTGTTCTTAATCAAAATCTAAATAGCAAACACCTCCAAATGTCTACCTCTCAATAATTAAAAATATGATAATTATATTTATTTTTTTTATATTTAATCTCTCGTAAATAAAATTTTATCTATAAGTATATAGTATAGATAGATTAAAATTATACCATAGTACGGGATATTTTATAACATATTATACCATTATACCATAGATTAAAATTATATAGTATAGATATTTTATAATATATTATACCATAGTATGGGATAAAATTCAATGGATAAAACAACAAATGAACAACATACAGTAAGGGGACAATTATTTACAGGGTCTTAAAAAAGTAATAGGCAATGCTGAAACTATATTTATTTTTTATCATAGCTTACCAGTTCCCACTCCCAAATAAAGAAAAAAAGAATAGAAAAACACAAAAAGAATCAGTATTTAGGAAGCTCAAAAGTATTTAGGGCCCATTTCATTAATTGGCACCCATTTCCCATAAAAGAATCAAACATTTCATAAATCAAAACCATGTCAGGAATCAAACTGAAATAAACACTCATTTAAAAAATGAAGCCCATTTAAACTGAATCTAAATTGGGGCTTTTTATTTCAAATCTATGTTACCTTATGAAGAAAGTTTTATGCAATCTCAAGTATAAGATATAACTATTAGAGAAGCACTTTAGACCCAAATTGAGCATTGTAAGACCAAACCTGGAATAGCATGTTTGGAAATTAACCTAATCTTAGTCTTGGTCTACATTTAGATTACATTCTATAGGTATTTTAAGCAAAGCGTCAGTCTTATCTAATCACTTAACTTTAAAGCTGGAAGAGAAGTATATTATACTTACTTTTAATTCAAAAAGTAATGTATTTTGGAACTCTATAAATGAATTTAATGTATCAAGGAAAAATTAGAAAGTAATAAAGAACAAATTAAATAAAAGGAAACTAACTAAGGGTATGTGAGTTATAATTTTGGAGGACTACCTGAGTTTTTACTCAAATCTCTAAAGTCATAAAGTTTAAAATTACTCCTAATAATTCCAGAATGCCAATATAACCCATTTCCTCTAAGTTTCATATTTTTCCCACATGGAATCAAATGCTTCTCAACCTTCTCTCTGTAATTTAGCAGTTAACAACATATGGTGTTTCTCCCTGCGACAACCTTCTAACTTTCTTCAAACTTTCTTTCTTCGTTAATTTAGCAGTTAACAACCTTCTAACTTTCTAACTTTATTAACTTTCTAACTTTTTGTAATTTAACTTCTTGTAATTTAACTTTTAACAAATTCAAATTCAAATTACAAAGTTAAACTACAAATTCAAATTCAACAAATTCAACTTGTTAAAATAAATTTATTAACTTCCTCTGTACTAACTGCTTCCTCTTGGCTCTCATACAATCCCACAACTGCCAAATACTGAATACCCAACTTGTCAATTTAGTATCCACTCAACTAATGCAAGCAATAGAAGATTGGTGTATAGACAAATGAAAGAAAACCTTTTCAAGCTTGAAGGAAGTCATAATGTGTTTATTAGCATATAAAAGACATCGATTCCAGATTTTCGTGAAACGTTAGAATAAAAACTAAATAAAGGTACACAACTACCTAAAGGAAGTCATCTATCTCTACAAAATAAAAAATCAATGAAACCTATGTTCAGATGGATAAAGCAAACTAATTGCTATTATAATACTTCGACAAAATGAAACTGGAGAAACATCTACACAAAACAAATAATAAATGAATGGCTATTAAAAGTGCAAAAATTGACCTTTCTATGATGAAGCCATAATCATTCATGTTGAAAAACAAATATAACTTATAATTATTCACATTTAGCAAACATAGTCTACTATGCATCAATAACATTATTTCTTCAAGGAAACCAAAGGTTATGTGGATGGCAAAGAGAGAGAGAAATACACACCATCAAAAACTCCAAAGAGACCAACTATCTCTCCATCCACACCATCAATTCTTGTCTCATAAAAATATTCCATTGTAGACCTTTTTCCAAGGGAGCTTGCATAACCATAGCTGAACTTTCCATTATGACTGTTTTCAGGTGACAAATTAAGCACAATGTTAGACTCAGTCTTCTGCACTCTCATTTTTCGAATAGAACTATAAACATTGCAAAGAAGTATAAATTCCTTCAATTACTAAAACCACAGTCGCCATACAACATCAACAAAAACTCCTGAACCGATGCAGTATTTAAATTGATCACAAGCAAATGGGTGAATACTTATACAACCACCAGAAACATTTTTTTTTTATAAAAGAATCCATTTACTCAATCATTGAGAGAGAGCGAGAGAGAACAGACAACAGACGGACAGAGACAGAGACATATTTGCATGAGGAACTGTTTGTAGAATCCTTTATCGGTACTTCAATATTGATGCATCAAAGATTTTGAAGAAGTAAAATAGGAATGAAACAACATATTTGCCAATATGCGTGGACATATATGACCACAAGCAACCAGTAAAGAACTCAAACTTTTGCTCACCCTAAATTAAATAACGCCAATTTATCATTCTCGGTGGATAGATGTTGACACCATAATAGGAAGATGATTGCATCATTGAATTTCATTCAGTCCATCAGCACAGAAGATCGTAGCAAAATTAACATAGAACTAAAGAAATATTTATCAAGCTTAAGAAAACAAAGCCAAAAAATAAAAAAATAAAAAAAAACATTGTCATAGAACTGATAAATCTGATCACCATGGAAATTCATCAAATAGCATACAAAACTCGCAATAAGATGTCCTCAGGGGATATGCCAGTCACAGATAAACTAAAGCTTTGGTTGACAATAAGCTTTTCATCCATGTTAGTGAACACGTATGGATGTTGCACCTTATTCCGTGGGTCCACTCCAAGAGATTGGTTCTGTAATGCCTAACCGTTGCACCTTATTCCAATTGTTCAATCCAAGGCTACCCATTTAATTTTAACAATATGGATCTTGAAGCAGAAAACAATATGGCAGCAATGCACAGTTTTTACCTAGCTTTCAAGCAGAAAACCAGGAATTAAAGTCATACAAATAACAGAAATATTAAATCATTGTTAACTGTACCATCACTGGGTCAAAAAGCCCAATACATTAAGCTAAAAGCTACATAAAAATTGAAGAACACAACCAAAAAAAAAAAAATAATTTAGCAAATTCGTTGAAAAATGATGAACAGAAACCATAAAAATGATGAACTTATTACCATTTTTATCATCATATCTATCAATGACATAAGCATAGACAACATACATGACCCTCTCCCACACACGAGAGAGAGAGAGAGAGAGAGAGAGACTATATTACATTACATTACTAAGAAATGATGCAATGAAGAAAATCACCTGCAATTGTGCCCTCCTTTCAACATATAAAGGTTTCTGTCCAATCATGGATAACAATCAACACAATGAATTAGACAAACTCTATGGTTAAATGATAGGAAAGAGAGGTCTGAAGTTCAAAAAGAGAAGGCAGTCTTACAGCTCTTGTAGCTTCCACGGAGGTTGAGAAGGCCACAAAACCAGAACCCTTACTCACCCCTTGTGGATCAAGCATGATCTGATTCACAAATCACAAATTAAATAAATAATAAATAAAATAGGGGAAAAATAAATAAATAAAGAGAATAGTACACCAAACAGACCAACATGAATTTCACTTGAACCAAATATACCTTGCACGATGTTATGGTTCCAAACTTGGAGAATAGCTCCTTCAGTTTTTTATCAGTAACGCTGTCATCAAGATTTTTGAGATATAAATTAGCACCTTGTAATTTTTCAAATCTACTGTTTCTTTCCTATTAAAATTTGGCTTTCAATTCTACCTCTCTTTCTGCTTTCCTTTGAGCCTTCCCCGCAAACAAAACTTTGTCATCATTTAAAGAGGACCCATTCAAGTTCTCTACTGCAGCAGCAGCATCATCTGGGTTCTGGAAATTTACAAAACCAAAACATCTGGACTTTCCATTTGCATCCCTCGTAACAACTACACTGGTGATCGGACCATACTTGCCCAAAAATTTTCATAAGGTCCTCATCAGTAGTAGTCTCAGAAAAAATTTTCACATAAATATTAGTGAACTTTGGTGATCCATTCACTTTCTTTCCTGGCGACGGACAAAAAGGCCAACATAAACTTGTTTATCATTCATCAACATGCCATTTAACCGTTTGATTGCATTTTGTGCAGCTTTTTCCTGGTCAAACTGCATAAACCCATAGCCTTTTGATTGACCATTGGCATCAATGGCTACCTTGCAAGACAACACACTACCAAAAGCGGCAAAAGTTTCATGCAATCCTTTGTTGTCTATGGATGCATCCAAATTCTTGATGAAAACATTCGCTAATCCACTTTTGCGAATGGTAGGATCTCGGTGAGAAAATATTATTCTAATTGGCTTTCCATTGATTTGTGTGAAATTTAAAATCTCAAGTGCATTAGCAGCTGCAATTTTCATATTACAAACAATGTCAACTTCGCCCCAAAACTTACTATAAAAATAACATATTAAAACATTCAACACCCTAAATTCTATCAATGATTCAACAAAATCACTAATATTATATATTCAAACAACTAGAAATTTTCAAAACTTGATAACAAACATTCAAAACATTGCAAAATTTCAATTATTTCATGTTGTATGTCATATGCATGCTTGTTAGTGTTACTATTAATCAAATACATCAACCTGCAACAAATTGTTCCAAATGCACCATTTTACACAAATTCTTGAAGAAACAACTCCCTCAATAAACCAAATCGTGATGGATCTTCAACATGTGTGATGTCAAAAAAACCCCAAAGCATCTAGCCATTAGTTTCACAAATAATTTACAAAAATGCATATTTAGGCTTGTTTTAAACACAATAAAGTACTAACAACTGAATGCATTTAGTAGTATTACCTACGTTACATGGACTTGAAGAAAGGAGTTAGATGTGAGTATGTGTCTTAAGCGTTCGACTTATCTAATTCTCATGTCTAAATATTTGTATTCCTTACCCACCCTCAACCGCCAACCCACCACCCCTCTCCCACCCAGCCCATCCAAACACATTTGCAAATCACAGAGAGAGAGAGAGAAGTAAACACAATGAGAGATTCCAGTGAGGACAAACAAATTGGCTCCACAGGATGAGGTAGTACATGGATTAAAAGCAAATTGACTTAATGCCACCCCCAGTTGCCGGCATCAATAAGAGAGAGGGAGAGTTGGTGGTAGTTGGTTTGTGGATATAAAAATATACATAGAGGACTATGTATTCTATTGAGGGTTAAATTGAAATTTAAAAAAATAAAAAATAAAATTAACAATTGTCATTAGCAAAATTCGTTAATAGTTCACTAATTGTTGTTATGTGATTTGAAATCTTAAGAAGTAGAATGTATTTTCCAAAATTTGAGTGAGTCAAAAATAGGAATGTATTTGTAATTTACCCTACAACACACTTTTATAACACATTTGGATTACCATGTATACTCGTGTATTTTACAAACGTAGAGTAGAAAAAAGATAGTATGAGTAGCATTACCCAAAAAATAATGTAACTATCTCTCTACTATTACAATCTTTTGTCAAAAATCAATTCGGGCACACAACAATACAGATTAAAAATCCAAAAGACTAAATGAGAAAAATACTTGAATCATGGATTTGAGTGGAGGGAGAGGAAAATAAAAAAATATATTTTATTCATATTGTCTTTCCAAATTTGTCTTTCCAAATTTATCTTTCCCTTTCCAAAACCCTACCCAACTACATATATGATCCAAACACAGCATAAAAGAAACAAATATAACCCTCTACTTTCCAACATGAACCAATCTAATCACATAACTAAGAACTCACTGACTAAAAAATTTACATCACACAACTCATCACAGAAAAATCCACATGCACAAAAACTTCAACTAAAAATTTCACGTTGATCAAAACACTACCATGAAAAACATCAAAATTATATTAAATCTATTATTGGGGCTTTTTAACAAATTCAACAAATTTGTTGAAAAATTTAACAAATTCAACTTGTTAACAACCTTCTAACTTTCTTCAAATCTATTATTGGGGCTTTTTACCTTATGAAGAACAGCTTCGTTGTCGGCGGCGACGGGACAGGGCGTCAGGGAAGGAGAAGGGTGAGAAAAGAGAGTTGGTGGTCGAGAGAAGAAAGGACAGCAAGAGGCGAGGAGAGGTGGTCGGTAGTCGGTGAGTGGCAGTGTCGTCGTGGGAGGAGAGGCAGAGAAGAGAGGTAGAGAGAGAGGAGCGTATGAAAGAGGATGGATGAAAGAGGGGGGCAGAGATGAAAGAGGAGAGACAGAGAGACGGGCGGGAAAAAAATTCATCTCAGCCATTTATTTTTGTTTGAAAAGATCTGTACCGTTAATATCAAATGTATCTCACATACATTTTATATATTTTCAAAACCTATTGTGTCTTATTATATGGATGTATTATTATTGCTCTATTATAAAATACTTTCAAAAATAGATAAATAAAAATATTTTTGGTAAAACATGTCTTGTGTATCAAAATTAATAAAGAAATAGAGAAATTGAAACAAGTGCAGAAATATATATATATATATATATGGATAAATTACACTGACACCCTTTGAGATTTATATTTATTATAATTCCTCCCTCACCTTTTGGAAATTACATCTCCCCTGAGATTTAAAGTTTCATTACAGATTCCCTCTTCAGAAATTTAATTTTTTTAAATAGCAATTTTGCCCTCATAGGTAAATTACATTTACTGCCCTCACATTTTAGAAATTATAATCCCCTCCCTAAGGTTTAAAGTAGCGTTACCAATTACCACCTTGGTTAGTATTAGTTGGAAAAAAAATTCATTGAAAAAAAATTAATTGAAAAAAAAAATTAATTGAAAAAATTTTTTGTTAGTGAAATTTTTAAATTTCTGTTTAAAAACCAACCTAAGCTCATTTTTTGAATTTATATTTTTTCTTTAAATTTACAAACTGAGACAACCATTTATAAATCAAAAAAATTATCAAACAAGTTTTTATGACAGTTTTTAAAATTTTTGTAAATATAAATTGAAAATTGAAAATAAAATGGTTACCAAATAGGTTTCAGATGGTAAAAATGTCGTAAAATTAACAAATAATTAAATAAGTTACCAACGTAATAAATGACTTATCAAAAAATTCTTAGACTATGTATGGTTTGATTTTTAGAAAAAAAATTTAAAAATTAAAATTAATTTGGTTAAAAAATAAAAAATAAAAAATAATTATCATTTTTATATAATTTTTATCTTTCGAGTAGTTAGAAATAATGTTTTACAAATTAAATTGAAACAGCCATACGCATATATATAACCTGCCCAAAAGTTAAAATGATAATTATTTTTTATTTTTTATTTCTTAACTAAATTAATTTTTAATTTTTAAATTTTTTTTCTAAAAATCAAACTATATATAGTTTAAAAATATTTTAATAAGTCATTTCTTACGTTAGTAACTTATTTAATTATTTGTTTATTTTACGATATTTTTACCATCTGATGCTTGTTTGGTAACCATTTCGTTTTCAGTTTTCAATTTATATTTACAAAAATTTTAAAAACTGTCATCAAAACTTATTTCATAATTTTTTTGATTTATAAATAGTTGTCTCAATTTGTAAATTTGAAGAAAAAACGTAAATTCAAAAAATGAGTTTACGTTAGCTTTTAAACAAAAATTTAAAAATTTTACTAAGAAATTTTTTTTTTCAATTAATTTTTTTTCAATGAATTTTTTTTTTAACTAATTGTAATAACCCCGACCTCCGATTAACGCTAAACCATGATTATTTATGCCTAACCGTAATTTAGAAGGAATCTGGGATTAATTTGCATATGTATTGCATTATCTGTGTGTTTTTATCTATTTGCCATAAGACGATCTGTTCATGTTTTGACTTTGAATTGCGAATTGAAAGCCTTATCGGTGTCCGATTCCGAAATTGATTAGTGTTATGTGCTAGTTAGTATTTATGTAATTTTATGGTAGGTTTAATTAAAATTTGATTTGGTACGATTAAACTCAATTAAATAATGTTGAATTATATTAGTTGCTTTAATTACCAACTTGCCATTGAGTGGCCACTCCATACACTTGTTAGGGACTCAATTAGCACATTCTTTACATCATTTTCCTCAGCCATTTTTGAGACCAAAAACGTAGGAAAGAGTGGAAAGAGTGAGGGAGGAGAAGAACTTAGCTTCAACAAGAATTACTTGGAGACTTAGAAGAAATCAAGGAGAATTGCATAATTGGGCTTCTAAACTTAAAATTGAGGAACTTTGGTAAGGAATTTATCCTTTGGTTTATGAATTTAAGTTGTGTCTTGCATGGTCCATGTTAATTTTGAAGCTTAAGGTAAAGAATTGGATTAAGATGTTGAATTAAAGCTTAATTCATGCATGCATGCACATCTTCTTGAATTTTGGAGTTGTTCTTCATGAATTTCCACATGCATGTCCACATTTTTGTTATAGTCTATGAATTCATCCTATTTCTGAGTTTAATCTTGCATTTGGTTACATTTTTGGAGCATAGGATTCATTAAAACACTTGCATATTTTGTGTTCATCACATTCTTGGAAGTTTGTTTGAAGTGGTGTTCAATTGACTCACCTTTGGGCTTTGATTTCACAAATTGATCTTCAAAACATCTTATACTATGAGTTAAAAGTGTTTTTCCAGAAAATGGGCCTAAGAGGTCGAGTTTTGGGGAGTTGAATGCTTGGTTTGAGCTTGGGAGGAAAATCTGAAAATTCCAGAATTTGGCTTTCTCGCTCGAGTGAAGGATTCCACGCTCGAGCGACCATCGTTTGTTCAGAGCTCCGCTCGAGCGAAGGGATGGTGGCTCGAGCGTAAATTGCAAGCTCTCAGGTTTTTGGTGCACGCAGAAACACGCTCGAGCGACGAGACCTACACTCGAGCGAAGAGCTGTGTCTCACGCTCGAGCGAGCATCGAGCGTAAAATTACACCATCTAGTACTTTTGCATTTTTGCAGACCGCTCGAGCGAAGGAGTCTACGCTCGAGCGACCCCTTTGTTTTGACAAGCTCGCTCGAGCGAAGAAAGCCTCGCTCGAGCGAGACCCCTATTTTCAGCAAACTTTGAAAAATGTTTTCCAAGTCATCTTTGTATCCTCATTCCATCCTAAGCACTCCTAGGCCATGTTTAAGACTTTATAGTAAGGATTTAAAGTTAGAAACATACTAAGAGCCAACAACGTAAGTTTTGTACAATTAGAATGTGTGTTTCAAGTGCGTATCTGTTATGTGTTTGTAGACACCCCATTTTTGACCGACCTTGAGACTCATACATCACCAGTTGAGCGCTTGGTGATACTGCATATCGTGCTCGTCCAGAAGTTTTAGAGTCTCGGCTGCGAGCCTTGCCTCCGGACTTTCGGACTCTTTTGTGCTTTGCCTCGGTTTGCGAACCAGGCTCGGTTTTCTCTGTTTCTTTTCCTGAGGGGAGGGAGAGGTCCCATAGACCATCTCTCAGTGGCCGTGGGCTACATTTTGTGGCTGTAGGCCATTTTTCCCATTTCGGAGCCCGGTTCCCGGTTTTCGGAGCCGTCAGGCCGTGTGCCTCGGTTCGGGACCGCTTAACCATCTCCTATTGCTCCTGTTTTTGGCATGCATCTTATTTACTCCCTTTTGAGGGACACTGAGGTCTGAGAGACCCACTTCGTGGTCAAACACTACTCCCGGTGCCTAACAGCCAGTTTTCGGGGCCTCGGGCTGCGCGTTTCGGCCCCCGAACCTTCATTTTGCATCGGTTTGGGCTCATTTTTGGTGGAGACCTTATTTTCACTATTAGAAAGCTTGTAGGAGGCTAACTGGAACTCTAGTAACGCTGCAGGACGGTCATTATCTAGAAAGAAAATTCATATGTGTTTATGTGACTATATGCTTGTATGGAGTGAATTACTATTGTCCAACGCATTAGGACATGAGTGAGTTAGTTTCGACACATTTGTAAATGTGCTAATCTCTTTTGTTACCTTCATTAGGATGCCAAGAATATGTTGTGGTAATGGTAAGCATGGTAGGCCTAAAAGGCATGAGATGCCTTTACCGGATGAGATTCTGGTGCAAGAAGAAGGGGTTGGTCAGGCCAATGTGGCCAAACCAGCTGGTCAGCCCAATGTGGCCAAACTAGCTGGTCAGTAGGCCATAGGTGCTTTGGCCTGTGAGATGGCCGGAGCTTTGCAGGAATCTATGGATATTGTTAGGGCTGGGAATCAAGCCCAGGCCTAAGTTACAAAAGCATGGCCGTCTTTCTTGAAGAGGGAGTTCTTCCGGTCTAACCCGGATGAGTTTTAGGGTGATCCTAAGGAGCCACTAAAGGTGAATGAGTGGCTAGAACAGATGGTGAAAACATTCGAGATGCTCGTCATCGAGCACGATGAGCTGAGAATAACCTTGGCATCCTTCCAGCTAAAGGGAGATGTGGGTCAATGGTGGAAGTATGCACGTGGGCACATTAGGATGACTTGGGAGGCCTTTGTCAACGCCTTCTAGGACAAGTTCTTGCCTCCCACAGCTAGGGAGAAGTTGAGGGACCAGTTTCTGAAGCTCAAACAACTTAGTTTGCTAATAGCTGAGTTTGAGGCAGCTTTCACTAGCCTCTCTAGATTTGCACCCGAACTCGTGCCGACAGAGGAATGCCGTTTTATCGAGTTCGAGAAGAGGTTAAGGATCGAGCTTCTTTTTAAAGTAGCTAGGTCGATGATTAGGGACTACGAACGCTTTGTGGAGGTGGCGGCTCATCTTGAGACCGTAGCTCAGGCAGAGGAGGAGCGGATGAGGGGCTCCAGGAGGTTCAAAGTGAGGTACAAGATAGTAAGAGACAAAGGGGTTCTACCTCACAGCAATCCTAGGGAGCACAGTCTAAGCCACTTTTCCTATGCCGAGTTCAGGCTCATGGAGAGGTAGTTAGAGAGGTTTCACTTGTTTGAAGTGTGGCTAGTTGGGTCACAAGTCTCCAGCTTGCTCGTAGAGAAGAGGAGGGCAACAGTCTGCACCGCTTGTAGCTTGTTCTCAGAGCTAGAGTCAGGGGAAAGGGTAGCTGCCTACCTGTTATCAGTGTCGGCAATCAAGGCACATGAAAAGGTTTTACCCTCAGTTGGGTGGTACACATAGTGCGTCTGGTTCGAGACAGACACAGAGCCACCAGCCTGCATAGTCAGCACAAGCCTCGAGGGCCAATCAGGGAGCCTCTTCAGCTCAGTCAGTGTATCAGACTTTATGCTCCGAGGGGTGAGCAGGTGGAGCAAAGACCTATAGGGCATGTGTATGTTGTTACCACGCCAGATTTGGTA